CGAAATTTGGTTACGGCACTCTGTGTGCGAAGTAGCGAGGAAACTTAGATAAGCTCGCGGCTATGTACGCAGCTTAAATCACGATACTTGGCTCGCGGTGACGCGAGAGAAAGCAACGAAAATGCATTCACGCGCGCGTAGGTAAGAGCGAAGGTGAGCGTTGCCCGTTCCTTTTGTTCCTGTATTTTCGCGATGGTAAACGCTGCAAAGGGGGCAAAAGGAAGGGAGAAAAAGGAGAGGAAAAAGGCGCGAGCGGAGGAGAAAAACAGCGGCCGTGGCCGAGTGTGTTTATTAAAGAGCATTAATCTGCGAATCTGTACCGGGTGTCCGGTTAAACTCGACTCGCCGTTTCCCGAAGACGTGCCAGCCGTTGTTCTCAGCTCTTCCACCGCCGTTTTCCAACCTCTTGTTCCTCCTCTTCACCGTCACCCTCTTTGACTCTCTCTTCCACCGTTTCCCTGCCCCCTTTTCTCTCGCTTTCTCACGGCCCTCTCTCGCGTTCGTGTTTTTCCGGTCTTGAGAACGGGGCTCGCCGTAACCCGGCCTCCGCGATGCCCTTTGTACCATTATACCGCTTTATTTCCAGCTAAAATCCTCGTCCGTGGTCCCTCGCCGTTCGAGCGGAAAAGCGTAAAGTGGAGCTCTCGCGGAAAAAATCGTTTCTTCGATTTTCAACCGGTAAACAGGTCGCGACCTCGCTTCGTGTCCTCCTCCCGTGTCGTCCCGTTCGACGATCGCGAAATTTCCATGTCCGGCGGAATCTTTGCCAGCCGGATAATTTAAATTACATTCGCGATTTCGTGGTCCATCGATCGCGAAACGGGGTTGGCGCAACGCGCACGGTTATTCGCGTTGGAATCTGCGTACAGCTGGAGGCATCTAGCAACAGGAGGAGCAAAACGTAGCGGAAAAAGCGCGGACAGAGGAGAGGATGGTTGACTCGGCGTGTATTTTCTTTCTTCCTTTTTACTCTTTCTTCTTCTCCCGCCTCTCCTGGTAAACCGTTCCTCTCGCGTGCTCCCGCGCGCCCCCGCGCACACGCTCGCGCCTGTCTGCAAGGACACGGCACCCACACACACGGTGCCACGCTCTCTCGCACGGCAAAACTTAACAAAACAATTTGCTCCAAAGCAAACAACGGCATCCGGTTTACTTGTGAATAAACAACATATTTATTTTTAGAGGCCCCACGGCTGTAACTCGTTTGCTCGGCCGCTTGCTCGAGCCTCGCGTCTATTTGCTGGCATTACGAGACTTAACGGCCGAGGATAAAAATCGACGGGGCCACAAATACCGTTGCGTGTTTGGAAATTTCTTAACTCCTTCGCTCTCCGTGCTCTACTCGTTCCGTGAATTTTCTCGCGAGAACGATTTCACGCTCCGCGTCGCGCTCCGCGTCGCGCTCCGGCCGAAGGCTGTCGTCGCGTCCCGAGCGACCACGATTTTTAGGCCTTGGTATTTTCCAGACCTTTCGTAGGTTATAGTCGTGGACGAAGGCGAACGCTTCGCGGAAAAATATTCGCGTTATCTCCGACCGCGAGAATGCCACTTTCTAAACCGTGAAGTCAACGCTAATTACGAGCGTGACTGCATCGTTCCGATTGATCGTTCACCGTCACGAAACGGAGTAAATATTAACGCCTGCTTCTTCAAGGTCTAGAGCCGTTTCAACCGCGCTCGCGAGTCCAGTATTTCCGAAAGATCCGTGTTTCGTTTCGGGAAACTTTTATCGATCCTTCTTCTCGCTCGTTGTCTCCTCGAATCGTCGAGAAGGAAAGCGATTCGAGAGCGAAGGATCTCTGGCTTGGACGGAAGGGAAAGTTTTCCCCGGTAGCGTAAGCGTAGGAGAAAGAAAGGCAAACGTCGTTAATCATTGGCCGGCATGAATTTGCGGGTTATAATTAGCAACGAATACCGTTGGCATTCGTGCTGGTCCCGGATTAAAGGAGTTCTAACCGCGACCTAATTCCAAGATAAGATAAGTCGTTAAGTGCATGGTGTGGCAGCCCCTCGCGATACTACCCGGTGTTTTATTGCTACGCCCCACCCCCGTGGGCTCTCCTTCGGGGCTCGGTGAGATTTATTGTAAAATTCGATAGATATTGCCAATTACAACCCCCGCGGCGCTCCACAGCCCCCTCTCCGAGCGCCCTGTTCTATCGACAGGGACAGGAGCCACCTTTCCTGGCTGCCTGCAGAATTTTAAATGCGTTTTATGTACAGAGACGACGCGGTGCGTTGCATAAATCCGTCCCCCTGAAAATATGATTACAATCACTGCCTCTCGCGCCCCGTCGCGCTCCTCCGCGCCCCCTTCGCGCCCCCTTCGCCTCGCCATCCCTCTTCGCAGACACGACCGACCGATAAAACGTTTCATTTCGTCGGAGAGTGTCTTACGAGAACGGCAACTCCCCGAGTAATCTTCCTCGATCATCGCTTTTATTGCCGACTTGTATACTAATTTTATACCCTTTTTCACGTTTCCACCAGCCCCTACCCACCCCCGTCCCCTCGCGCGGACAGTCCTCTTGGCACCCGATATCGTTCGACGACCGTGTCCCGCTCGTTCTTCCGCTCCGGGATACGCTTTATCCTCCCGGCGACTCGGCAAGCTACGCCCCCGTGCAAACCGTGCTTCCGTTAATCGCGTATTTTATCGCGTTATTTTCGGAACAAACTCGATATTCGCCTAGGAGAACGATATACGGGCGTCGAATCTGACGAGCGTAATCTCCGCTAGATCGCGATATTGCCGGCGCTTATCGTACATCACATCCCGCGAACGTGCACGCTATCAACGCATCGTCGAAATCGGGCAAGTTATGCGCCGCTCGCACGCTCGCCGCTCGTTAATCCACCCATCTGTCCACGTGGCAAGAAATTTCTCGTCGCGAATCGCGCTCCCGCTAATTGCATTCGACGCCTTGTATCGAAAACAGCGTATGCGGGACACGCGGCGGACGGAGGAGCACGGGGGCGCGTAGAACGGAACGCGACGAACGCGCGAGTTCACGGGGCCCAGGCCACGGGGTTGTTCCCGTCGCGCTCCACGCCGGATGCATCGGATGCGCACCGGTGCGATCGAGACGGTGCAACGTCGGACCACTGCGTGGCACACGACCACGTGGCCGCGTTGCGTGTTTCTCCTTTGTACCTTTCCTTTGTCGCGTGTGTGTCCAGCTGCGGCGTCGAGAACGCGCCTACCGCGTGCAAATGAAGCGCAAGATGCGTGCCTCGATAACCGTCGCCGGGTATTTATATACGCTATCCGGTTCATTATTTTCCATAGCCACTGTTTGTCTCTCCGCCTTGACACTTCGCCGCGAACGCGAGCGTAACGCGTTGTTCGATCGCGAGGAAATCAGCCCCGATCCCCGCGACGAGGCGTGACGCGGGAACGAGGATTCCTCGCGCGAGTCCACGAGGTTAATTCTCCTCGGCCGTTCTCCGAGGAGCCGTTACACCGACGTATCTCTATTTACGGTCGTTGCCTGGCTGCCTTCTAAATCCGTCGGACGCGATCGGCTCTAATTATAAATCGAATTTGATCGCGAGTCACGCTTTTCCATTTTCTCGTCGGTCACGACGGTGTATATCACCCACACGCGTGCGTACCTCGAGCGGGGTTCGAGAAGGTTGCGCAATGCCGGCGTGAGAATAGAAATTCGGCTAATTATACCGCGGCGAAGTAATTCGATTAAGATCGGCACAGGTGCATTATCGCGTGCCTCGGCCAAATTTCCCAGCTGTACACACAAGCTCCGTTCGACGGCTCCGTGGATTTTTCTGCGCGACCACTTTCTGCCAAACGCTCGCAGGAGTTGCCGGAAATCGGCACTTTCGATTCCTCCTTCCGACCGTACCGGGATTATCGGGGTCGACGTTTATGCATCGAGGCGAGTGGCGGAATTATCGATGGAAATTCGACCGAGATTCCCGGAGTCGAGGATAACGTGGAACTGGAGAAAAATTAAACAGCCCGGGACTAAATACACCTCCGCGAGGTGTCAATTTACCTTTAAAACGTCGGAGGAGGTACCGCGAGGAGGAATTGCAGAAGACGTTGACGCAAATCGGATAACCGTTAATCCGATAGGAAGGGGTTAAAAAATTCAGCGAGATCGGAGATAGACGGAGAAATTAGAAAAGCTCGAGAAAAGCTGCACCTGGCTTTGGGCGTGAGTATCGAGATGGCGTGGGCGGGGATGGAAATCGGGAGCAAGAGTCGTGCGAACGAATATTAATATAATCGCGGCGGGCAGAAATCCACGAGCGAAGTAAAGAATGATATAATAGCCGGCCCGTAAGGGATGCGTCTGCGAGCGAGAGGGCGAGAGCCCAGCCGAAGACGAAGTGTTCTCATTATACCGTCTGATTTATGCGCGTGCCACCTCTCGCAGTCGCGCGGGATTCTAGGTTAGAAGCAAAGTTAAAAGAAAAATAAGGCTTACAGGGTGCGAAGAGTCGAGGAAGGGCGAGGAATATATTAGAAAAATAAGCCCGGCGCTGCGCGAACGAGCATCGGGGAAAAAAAGTTTGGAAAACTGCGAACTGCCGGAGATCGATGTCTCCGCTCCGCGGCAGCAGCCACCGCCTCGGCTCTGCTCGCCGCGCGAGCAAAATACCGCGAGAAGAATAAATATTTTCTCGGGAAACTGTCCGGGAGCAAAGTTCTTTCCTCGCGTTAACGAGCCGTTGTACTTTGTCCGCGTAGAAAGAACTCGAGTCGCGTGATTTCGTACCCGTCGAAGCTTCCTTCCAGATCCCCTCCGACTTTTCCTTTCGTTTCCCTCGATTTCGCGCCATTCTCCACCGTTCCGTTCCTTTCCGTCCTGCCCGAATCGTCGAAGGAAGATCGAAGGTACGACGCGGGGCGATTTCGATCGCTCGAGTTTCGAGCTTTTGCGAATGCTCGCGTGTGTATGTGCGTATGTGTGCTTCTTTACGCGCGTTTGTGCATCGATCACGTGACAGACACTGATCGCAAATTTCTGTTTCAGGGACACATCGGTGAGAATCCGTTCGACAACGGTTCGTGGGGAAAGGAGCAGTATCAACCATCGACGGTTCCTTGGCAGCTGAATCCGCGCAGCCACGCTCGTCCCAGTGTGAGTAATCCATAATACACGCTCGCGTATTTCGTTCGTTGTTCGTCCGAAGGCGGAAAAATAAATGAAGAGGTAAAAAAGGGAAGGGGGGGAAAAAGGGAAAGAAAGAAAAGAGAAACGCGGAGAGTAGGGAAGAGGAGAGTGAATAAAAAAGAAGGGGGAGGATGGGTGGGTAGGATAGGGTAATTGTAAAAGGAGAGCGCGCGAAGCAAAGCCACTTTGGAGGAGAATATAACGCGCAGTCAGAATCCTGTCCGACACAAGGGCTCGGTGTCTGAAATTTGTAATTCCGGCTTGGATAAGAATACTATCCCTCGGCGGGAGGGTGAGTAACGACCGCGGAAAAAGAAATCCGGCCACTCATTGTGTCCGCAGGTAGCAAAAATGCTAGAGGGGCATCGTTGGCTGCTCTCCTCCGAGCGTTTCCTTCTCTCTTTCTCACGGCACACGACACGGCCACTACGACGTCGTCCGTCGTCGTCGTCGTCGTCGTCGTCGTCGTCGTCGTCGTCGTCGTAGCCGTCGTCGTAGCCGTCGTCATCGTCCTTGCCAACCACCGACCAACCCCCCTTTTTCCTTCTTCTGGCCGCCTCTTCTGGCCCCGTTGAAAACCACCCTCTTGCTCGCACTGCCGCACCGACTCGTCCTGTCACCCGGTATTTATAATACGCTTTGTTTTCCCTCGGCTATTTGTCTTGGGCTCTCGGTTCCTTCGCTAACGTTATTATCTCGCGTTTTATTTTTATTTAATTCCAGCCTGCTCCCGCGTCCTCTACCACCTAGCCACCCCATCCATTCGCGCTGTTACTCTCTCGACCGAGCGACCACTCCGCCGACGCCCGGCGCCGTCGTTACTTATCCGTCGACGACCCTTAACGAGCGAAACGTGTCCTACGATTTAGGGAAAACTTTCCGTACTCCGAACCAGTTTCTCTTTTTTCCTCTTCCTCTTCCTCTTCCTCTTCCTCGTCCTCTCCTTTCACCTTTCACATTTGCATATCAGCCGGTCTTGGCATACCGAATCGATCTCCTTACGCGCGTCGGGCGCGATCGACGTGGACGCACGATCGCGGAATTTGGCAGAAATCGAAGGAAACCGGAGGCTCGTCGCGACCGGTGCACTTTCCATTTTATATTCCGCTCGATCGTTAACCGCTGCGCGTCTTAAACAAAGGAAACGCAAAATTGCATACGTAATCGGCGACGATGCGCGTGGAAATTTGCATGACAATGCGATCGGTGCGGTTCCGAGCGCTTTATTTATCCGCGTATCCGAGCCAAACGGCAACTTGATATATCGTTATTTAAAAGAATGCACATTTTCGCGAAATGCCACGGGGGCCGTGACGTAAACGTTGTATTGTAACGCAAGTAATGCGCGTGCTGGCAAAGTTAAATAAACGGGGAGTGACGTGCAATCTAAATCGTACGCGATACGAAGCAACGAGGAACGAACGTAACACGCAATTGCCAAGATGGTTAACGTAACCGGCGTCGTCGTATTTTACCAACGATTTACTATCCACGATCCGAACGCAATATCCGCGTTCGAGTATCGCCGGATTTAATTTTATCGAATAGTAACCGTATCGTCTTATTGCCGTACAACGTCTTCATTCACCGACGCTTATGCGCACGACACAACGCGCCGTGCACGCGTACACCCACACGCGCCTTCGTACGTACACGCGTGGCGGAATAAGAAGAAGAAAAAAGAAAAGGAGGGAAAAAAATAAATAAATAATGTTTATCTTGGCTTTTACGTGCGATAGGGAAGCAAAGTCGATGCCGCCCACGCACGTAGCCGACTCTAGGAAAAAACCATTCGTGCCACTTTGCACGTACGTGTGTGTCAAGCTTGTTTATTGAAATCGTTTCGTCTCGGCGTGTCAGTGCGCCGATACACGGCTACGAATGTCGTACGTACAGTTGTTGCACGCGATCGTACCCAGTCGCTTAAGATCGCCCGGTTCCATCGCGATCGAACTTACTTGCAATTTGTTTGCCATTTCCACCTTCGAACGGTACTCCTACGGAGCGATTCGTCCTGACGATTCGTCCGAGCTATTCGTTGAACCCCGAGGAGCAGAGATCGCGACGCCTCGCGACGAATCTACGCGCGAAGCTTCCATGAGCAATTCCCAATTTCCAACCAAACGTTGCTCGCGATTTTTCCGCGCGCGATTCGAACGTCGCTTCGATTCCGCGTCGACCGAGGAAAGGAAGGGTGAAAAATGGGAACGCAGGCTCGATGTCGTACGTATGTCGCGTTGCTCGTTTCAAGCCCTTATCGTGGGTTTCTTTCGCCGTGGTTGCTCTTTCAACGTGGCAAAGTTGGCCGTGTTCGACGAAAGGAAAGTCGCCGGACTTTTTTCCAGCTCGACGCGCGATAATTCGTCCGCGAGCGGACAGAGGTTGCCCGTAGAAGGGAAATTATGCATGCGACGTGTAGGCACACGCGTATTCGTAGCTTTCTAAGAAGCGAAGAAACGCAGACGCGTCGCCGGGAACCCGGCCCGATTCCGCGATACACGCGCGACTAGCAACGTTTACACACGCGGTGCCGGGCTATGAGATCATCGCGGGCCGGCTCTGCGATCGTTGGAAACACTGACGTCAACGGTTTCGGCTCTGGCTTCTCGTTGACTCCGGCGTACGATTCTCGGCCGATACGATGATATCGGGGAAGACTAATGCCGATCGTGCACGTGCAAACGTTATACCTACCTGGCCCGGCTCGTTCGATCCTGTTTCATTAAACATCGTAACCGGTGAAATAAACTGGCCGCACTGGTTCTCTGCGCCTTGCGAAATAATTAAAGGCGCTTGAATTTATCGCGACCGATCGGTAGACGCGATTAGACTCCAGGTGAATTTCGCGTAGGTATTATAAAGTGCTCGCCACGCACACCGAGAGCGACAGCGAGACACGGGGCACACGAGGGACGGGGGAGCAAAAGGGGGTGGGTATGTTTTTTTCGGGGCGTGGAAATATCGGGGAATTTTAAAAGGGGAACGAAAAACGCGACGATTCCCTCGAAGCGTAATCCGAGCGCTCTTTCGTCCGTGGGCAATATGAATCGCGAGAAAAATCAGAACCGGATGGGGGTGGCGGATCTTAGCCCCGGTCTCTCGCAACCCCTGGGTTTTAAGATATGCAGGGCACAACGCACGCTTTCCTAGCGAGACTATTTTAATACGAATGAGAGGGACGGGGTGGATCGGGGCGGCGCCACGAAAGAGGAGCGAGAGAGAGAGAGAGAGAGAGAGAGAGAGGCAGCGAGAAGATCTACTTCTTGATTACAGAACTTTTTACCTAATTACATAACATTGTTACCATTTACAAAGTCGCAGCCGGGTGTACGTCGTCTGACTACTAATTAGGAAGCCCGATTAGCGGCCGGGCGGACGAGATCACGCCCCCTACGTGTTCGATAAATTTCGCGTGATTCCCTCGAGCTACCGCTTCTTTAATGAAATCCCCGAGATTCCTCGATCTCTCGAATGGAAAAATTCTCCTCGGACACGCGGTCCGGCTCGTGGTAACGCCACGGGCGAACCCCGGCGCGTGATTAATTTACCGGTCGATGACGAAACAAGGGTTGGAGGAGGATCGAGTTTATCCTGGAAACTGGAACTTCTTATCGGGAAGATGTAAGCTCTCGGAGAGATAGTCATGCGCAAGGGACGCGTTCTCGACGATGCAGACATTAAGACGTCTGGTCCTCGACCTCCGTTTTCCACCCCTTTGCTCGCCTCCTCTCCTCCTCGTGCCTCGCCACCCCCTTTAGCAGCCGGCCTAGCCGTTAGACGGCGCTGGTTTACCCCGTCTTCATTGTCCTCTAATTCTCATCTGATCCTCACATTACGTAATTTTCTCTTTATTATTTTATAATTCCTCGCGACCCCCCCTCCCCCCCGTTCGTCAACTCTCGCGCGCTCATCCGACTCGCAGACCCGCACGAACTCATCCTACGCCACGCATACTAATGCATTCTCGCATTTATTAATTATTCCCCGCTAGTTACCGCGGCTTTTCGCCCCCGACGTTGTTCCTTCTCTGCCGCGTAATGATAGATTAAACCACCTAGATTCGGCGACGGACAATGTACCTCACGTACCCGACGTTTCCCGCGGTCCTTGGCGCTTATCTTGCAGGATTTTTCACTCGTTCG